GACCCAGCACCCACCCACCCCCGCCTGTTCAGCCCCAGGACTAGAGGGGCCGCCTGAGCACATTCCCCCCCTTCCCCGCGTCGTGCTCCCCTGTGGGGCGGGGCTGGCCGGGGGCGCCCCCCACCCTACACTCTGGAAGAAGCAGGCACTGAAGGGTTAACTGGCTCCCTGGGGCCGAACCCCTCCTTAGATCCAGTCCCGGGCCCCACATGTGTGTCACCCCTGGCTGCTGGGTCCTGCCCCCACCTGGGCACCCCTGCCTCCGGCCCGGCCATCAGGGGCACCGCGGGGCCTCATTGGCTTCAGCCCCCTCCCTGCCATCCGGAGCCGCCCCCCCCCAGGCCCATCTACCCCGGTGACCCGCCCCCTCCCTGCCATCCGGAGCCGCCCCCACCCCCAGGCCCATCTACCCTGGTGGCCCGCCCCCTCCCTGCCCTCCAGAGTTGCCCCCACACATCCAGGCCCATCTACCCCGGTGACCCACCCCTCCCTGCCCTCTGGAGCCACCCCCCCGGGCCCATCTACCTCGGTGACCCGCCCTCTCCCTGCCTCCCCAAGCCCATCTAGCCCCACATCCTGCCCCCCCCCATCCCTTTGAGGATCGGGACTCTGAGTTTTCCCACATCTCAGCAGCTCCGTGTAAACCCTAGTGGGTCCCTGTGTGGTTACGGCCAACACACGGGACCCCCCCCCGCCCCCACAGGAGAGATGGAAACTCTTTGCTAAGCCCCCCCCACCCCCGCTTCAGCAAACGCTGGGTCGCCAAACCCCCCCCACTGGGCCCCTTTTCCTAGCGTCTCTTGGCCTTTGGCTGTGGGGGTCACCCCCTCTCCCGTGTTGGATCCTGCCCCCCCGTGTTATTCTCTCTGCACAGTGATTTGCGGGGGGGGGTCCTAAGGTGGCTGGGTCTGGAGCCGTTGGCTTGTGGGCTACGTGGGGCTGTTGTGGGGTGCTTTGGCCCCCGGGGCGGGCGCTGGCTGGGTGAGGACGCGGGGGGTTCGGGGGGTTCTGTTTGCTTTTCGTTTTACCCCCCAGTTTGTGTCTTCTATTAAAGTTCATCTCGGATTTCCTGCGCGTGGCTGCCTGGTGGGGCCGGACGGGCGGGCGAGACGCACACAGGAGATGCGGAGAGACGGGGGTGGTTTATTGACACCCCCAGCTTGGAGCATGGGGGGGAGGATTAAAAGCTGGGGCCTGCCCCTCATGGAGTTTCCAGGGGAGCTGAGTTT